GTGTGCCTGCATTTATTTGAGTGCACTTATAAGAACTAAGCAATATTCCCCTCTATTCACACATTATTGTGAAATATTCTTATCTACACAAACTTGATAGTAATGGAATGACAGACAGAATATTAAGTTTATTTATATTTATTTTATTTATTCTTTTCATTTATTTTACATCATATTAGGGGTATTCTCTTAGTCTAGGCAATGCAATGCGAAGATTTGCAAATCAATTCAAACAGTTTTATTATCCGACTCGGGGTTCCTTTTTTCTTCGTGCAATCTATTGATGTCCCGTTACACGAAAAGGAAAACCATGCAAGCTGTGTACCATAGCATACATTTCCAAGACTAAGCGAATACCCCTAATGTCTATTGTTATGTTCGTCACGTAATTATCAGTAGTACTTTGAGTTGATGGAGGTGTCTGTAATTTTTCACGATAAACTACATATTTTATTCAGATTTCACGCAAAATGTGCACCGAAAATTATCATCGCGATCATCTTACGGGAAGTTCAGAAAACCTACTGTTTCGACGGGTTCGGACTAGAGGGATCAGATGAGTCGGTTTAAAAGTGGCGTACAATGAGGTGATTAACGTCATGCGGGGTTTCATAGCATTCAGGCCGGCGAGCCGAGTAATATTACCACAATTAAGATCTGGATATTGTCGACTATAAGATCTTAATTGCGGTAGTATTATTTAGCTCTCCAGAGGCAGCTCGAGCTCTTGGTCTGCAATAGGTGGTGGTATGTCTTCGAGAACGCCATTCACTAGAAAAGAGTTCATGGAGGTATGACGTTTTGTCCAGCGGTTATTGTCTAAGATGTTGAATGGAGTTAATGTAATTTAATACTAATGTGACTGGGTTGAGATTCAGGCGAAAATATATATTGGGGTTCTCCCGACGACAGCAATCGTAATTTGCGACCGGCCAACCAATTGTCGCACTCTTCCCCAGGAGCTGCCTACAAACGATTTGAATATTTTTTTGCGGTCCCGTACGTTTGTGGCAATTGTAGGCGTTTTTGAAGTACGCCATTCATCGATATCGAGTGAGTACTGCTTCGAGCAGCCGAGGATCTCGCAGGTTGTAGCTGTAGTTATTGAGCTGTGAAGAAATGGGAAAAGTCGGAGAGACAGAAGTTTACCTTCGAAAATATTTTATCAATATCTTGGTCAAACGCCAATATCAAGCATTCATCGTTATATAAGATCTATAAATAGCCCTCTGGTGGAGAAAGAAGTTAATATAAAAAGTAAACGAAAGGGGGAAGTAGACATCAGTAGACATCATACTGCGGAACTCCTTAATTTTTTAATCTTACAGAGTCTGGAAGTTTGACCATAAAACCCTGCCCATACTTTTAAAAAATCCAAAGGATGGTTCGGGTCGGTTTTGCTTAAGGCTAAGGCCGATTGTGTGTTGTTCTTCGAGCCGAACGACGCACTGTTACCCAATGACAACGGTTTGACAGTGTCCCAGAACCATGAACTATCTGGGTATTTACGACGCTAAGTGCGGTCGCGGTGCTGTGCACTACCTCGCGGATATCCTCTAGCGGAACGAGACACTGTTACCCAATGATAACGGTTTGACTGTGTCCCAGAGCTTGGTAATCACAGAGAAGGACATTAAGTGCTCTTACCACTTCTTCCGCTTGTGCTCATCAGCTTTAGGCCGAATCTGCTTATGGCGATTCCTGATAAGGGATTTCCCAGTTGGATTTGACGTAATGAGTCATGCCTGAAAGGTAAAACCGTACTACGGACCAGACTCGACTCGGATTTATCCGGCTAAGGGCTGTCTGTTTATGTCATCAGGTGATTTCAGTCCTGGGAATTCTTATTTCAAGCGCATGAAGCGAAAACCCGCCACGAAAAAATTACTCACCTTTGCCAACCAAATGCACGGAGCTTTTTTAATGGGTACTTTTTATACCTAATATTTAAATGCATTATATATTTCGTAGACTTAATTTATTGTGCCATTTGTATGGAGGAAAGCAAACGATATGTTAAGTGTTTGTTAAATAAACTACACACGTGCAAGGAAATTATAATAAATATAAATAAATAATGATTAATTAATCCAATTAAAATTACAATTGAATTAAAATAGTGGCACTAGAGATTACTCTTCAACCGATTTGAAGTAAAAATTAAAATAAAAAATATTTATCAATCAAATAAATGCACAAAATAATGTTATTTTGAGTGAAAATAAATCTATATATATTATACTTCAACACCGATTTGCAATTTTTACGTAATTTTTCGAGCCTCTAATGGTCGGTAATATGACATCTTTCGGCAGTTTTCGATTTTTCTTTCGAATTTTAAATATTTTCTACTTCGCAATATATTGTATTTAATTACTTTTAATTTTGTTTTATATTCCACTTGAAGTATAATAAGTAGCGAAATAGTTTAGTTTACGTAAGTCTTAATGTATGGGGTTACCCATTGAAAGTAATTGAAAAGCATTTAAAATATTTTTTTTATGAAATTCCTTTCTCTTTGTAAGATTCTTCGAATCAAGGCATCATAAATATGTGAAACTTTAAGTCATTCAAATGACCGAATTGCAAATTTGTGCAAACTTCGTTCTGTTTAAGTTAAATATTAACTTTTTGGCACATATTGAACGATATCTGAGCTATTACTTCACGAATTTTGGTTTTCAAGAGTTAGGAGTTTCTCCGCATAAACACGCTGTTTTTCGCAGGCAAAAAAAAAGTCCAACGGTGTTACGATATCGGCGGCCAATTGACATCGCCAAGACGAGAGATAACGCGTGTTGTGTGGCATGTGATATCATCATGTTCAAACCATATGTTATCCAAGTCCAAGTGCTTCAATAGCAGGCCAAAAAGAATTAAGTTATCATACGGCCATAACGCTCCGAATCGACAGAGACAGTCTCGTCATTGTCGCTTTCAATGTAAGTTGGAGGACTGTGTGCATCATGATCTCTTCTTAAAGCACGAATCATCATTTTTCTAGTAGGTTTTAATAATTTTCACCCGTTCAGAGGTTGTTAAGCAAACCATTTTCGTAAATATCCCAACATTAGCTAAAACAAAACATGCTTGGTTTGACAGTTAGCAAAATACAGTCCCCTGTACTTTGGAAACCATGAAATGGATAACCCTATAACTTTTTGAAATCTCGTGCAAAAACGACTGTCATTCGTAATAAGTTGTCCATCAGAAATCTAGCGGTACAAATATATTTTTTAACGTATTAATTTTCGCATTAATTTCCTTCATTTTGTGCAACTATTCCCCCATGTAGGAATACTCCAGACATGTTTTTAGTGCAATGTTTAATAAAAAATTTAAACTCAGAAAAAAGCCACTCGACAAATTAGGTAAACAAGTTTAACAGTTTTTGTCTTTTTACTGTGATTATGACCATTTCTTTTTCTCTTTCTGTGCACCAAATATTATCTAACAACTAACTACTTTCACTAGAGTGTAAAACTACTAAGCATTTACATACATACATATGCACATATTTACAAGACAATATGGGAATGAACATCACATCAGTACTAATAAATGCGAAGAGCTGATCGACTAATATTATATATGAGCATGCGAAAGTTTACACTCTATACATTAGTTAATGAATGCAGTTTAAGACATGGATTCGCACATACCAGGGTGAATCAGCAGCCTTCGACAGCACGAAAAGGAGTTGCCTACACGCCGTTAGCTTTGCTTTCTGAAAAAGAAACGAAGCGAATGGTAGAGGTAGTGAACGAGGACAAGACGAAATATCTCTTGTCATCAAACAAACGGAGATCGTATTCGCGACTTGGCTCCCACGTCACTAATGACGTAGATAACTTCGTCTATCTAGGAACTAGCACCAACACCAACAGTAATGTCAGTCTTGAAATCCAACGCAGAATTACTCTTGCCAACAGGTGCTACTTTGGACTGAGTAGGCAATTGAAAAGTAAAACCTTCTCGCGGCGAGCGAAAACCCCATTCTACAAGTCGTTCATCATACCCGTCCTACTATATGGCGCAGAGGTGTGGACGATGAAGTATATGACGAAAATTCGAAATTCTCTTTCGAGGTTACCTACTTTTTTTACAGAATAAACACCGAAAATTCAATTTTAATGGGGAATGTTTACTATCATGCGAAAGAACATTCCATGGCATTTATTTTATGAAGATTATCTCTTTCAAATGTTGGCCGCGACTATGTCTCAGATGGTTCATCCGTTGAGTCCAATTTTCGATAACTCGTTCGAGCATTTTGAGTGGTAACAGCGCTTAAACTTTAGACTTCACATATCCCTACAGGAAAGTCTAACGGGGTGATATCACACGATCTTGATGGTCAATTGATCGGCGTAAGTCTTTCTATGATAAGATGACAGTTTAACATGTCCCACACGTGTTCTGTCAAAAAGTACCTCTACTTGGATCACCCGTTAAAACAATCATGTTCATTCTATTGAATTTAGTTAAGCGATGTGATACTAACTGAATGTAATTGATTTTTTCTCTTTCACTTTGTTTATTTTTATTTTTTTTTTATTTAATTTTATTTTATATTATTTTATTTTACTTAATTTTTTCATTTATTTCATTTCATTTTACTTTATTTTATTTTATTTTATTTTATTTTTTTTTTGTTTTTTTTTTTTAATATATTTCATTTTATTTTATTTTATTTTATTTTATTTTTTTTATTTTATTTTATTTTATTTTATTTTATTTTATTTTATTTTATTTTATTTTATTTTATTTTATTTTATTTTAGTTTATTTAATTCTATTTTTATTTTTTTTTCATCGTTTTTATTTAACTTAATTTAAATTTTATTTTATGTTACTTTTTTTATTTATTTGATCATTTTTTTAGCGCCTTTCACAACATCGTTTTGGTCTACCCTAATGCATGTGAAGTGTTTGTTTGCAAGTCTAGAAAACTATACTTTGCATGTAGTAGTTGCAAGTCAGCAAAAGCGTATGCTAGCTCTAATAATGTTTAGCCGGCAATGCCTTGACTTAGTCAGTCGTTGAAGAAAGCTAGAGCAATTCGGTTCGTTTGAAGAGTCGGCAGCAGCACCGACATTAGTTTGACTAAACGTAAATAGACTGTAATTTGACTTTTTAATTTATTTCTTCACAAAAGTGATAAGCGTGTATGGCACGTATTTTATTATTTGTATTTCTATTTGGTGCGCAGAGAAGTGAAGCAAAGTCAATCATAAATAAACTGAAAATATACATTTTGCCGGTCTATTAACGAGCCTCGCTGGTGAGTGTGTTTGTGGGGTGATCCACTGAATTTGATTAAATTTAAATGAAAAACAAATAGTACATACATATATTAACGCATTTGTGGGTGCATTTTGAGTGTCACTCGGACATGTGTGATATGAGTGAAGCAATGAAAAAATTTGAGATAATGCAGATAATGATTTAAGCCACAAGAAGCCGGTATGCGAAATTGTAGCGGTTTTCTATGTATGTCCCTTTTCTCAGTGCAACGATTTTTGTTATGCATTCGTTGAAAATATTTTGACTTTAAATTCAGTGCAGTGTCGGTGGTTGTTTTTTTTTTTTGTATGTTGATACATATGTACATACATACTCAAGTGAACTGAGTATTTGTCAATTGCAGCCAAAGCAATTTTATTACATCACTGTGAAATGTGTTTGAAAGTACTTTATATAATCACAGTGGATATTTCGCGTTTCATTTGCGTTAAAAAATTACTGCAAATTTTATTAAAAAAAATTAAATTTTAACTCTACGGAAAAAATTGGAAATGTAAAGAAGATATAAAATAATAAAAAATAATAGATAAAAAATGTTATTATTAGTACAATTTACTTCCTGTTAAGGCAAAGACTATATTAAATTGAAATTTGCCCTTGGTAAAACTTATACAAAATTGCAAATTTTCCTTAAAGTTAATATTAAATTAAAGTTAATATTAATTTTGATATTTTATAATTATTAATTTTTTTAATTAACAAAATGCTTTGAAAAATATCAAAAAAATTTTTATTTTTATATACAAATCATTAATTTTCGTATGGAATTCCTTGTAATTTAACAATGATATAAATATTTATATTCGTAGATTTTTTATTTTTAAAACACAATATTTTGTATTTTTCAGCTAACCCACAATCTATAAAATAATATATTTTCTTACTTTTTGTACGAGTTTGTAATTACAATAACAAAGAATTAAAATTCCATTCTTAAGTTTCTACGAATCATAAACCTCTATTATTTCACTGTTCAATAAAATTTTAATGCTTTTTCTAATTAGTCGTACTGCTTGGCACTCTGTAGCAAATAAAAATTATTTTAAAATTATGAAAAAAAGTTCTTTATTTTAGATGCATAAAATAAGAAAAAAATTAAAAACAAAATAAATTAAATTATGAAACATAATAGCTGAAACATATAATTAATTAAATTAAGTTATAAATTAATATATGGAAATAAAATTTCGATCGAAAAAGTCGTAAAAATATTAATACACTTATAAATATTAAATATATATATTTTATTTTTTTAACAATAAAGCACACTAAGTTTGCAAGTTAAAAAATTAAATATAACCATATAACCATATTAAAATTAAATTAACTAATATTTTTGAGGGCAATTAATCTAAGTAGCTTCGCATTTTTTCATTTAAAATACTTAATTTCAGCTATTTTATTTTATTGTTTAAAAAACTTTATTTTTTTAGCTTAACTGATGGATCTCGTTTTTATTTAAAAACAATTTCTCAATAATTTGTAAATCCAATTTAAAAAAAAAGTTGTTATGTTTTATTTCTTTCTTATTTTTGAGGTTTTTTGACATACAATGTAAAATGTCGAAGTTAAAAAGAAATTAAAGCTGAGTTTTTATTTTTAAATTATTATTTTTTTTTAATTTAATATTTACAATAAATTTTTTTAATATTTCAATTTTTGAATTACTTTTTACTTAATATTTTATTTTTCAAATTAGTTTTTCTAAATTTTTCGTTAACATTTACTTGTGACCCCTTTTGAAGCATTTTTAAAATTTTGAAACATTTTTATTTTTTTTTAATCGTTAATTTTTTAAGTTGTTTGTAAATGAACTTCTTTGACAAGCAATTCAAAATATCGAAATTAAAAAGAAATTTAGATAGACCTTTTTTTTTTAAATTACAATATTTTTTTTCTAAATAATAAATATTTAAACTAATTTTTTTTAATATTTAAAATTTTTAATTAATTTTTTTTTATTTTAATTTTCGATTTTTTTTTTAATATTTTAAATTTCAAAGTAATTTTTTTAATATTTTAATTTTTATGTTAATTTTTTAACTTTCCTGCTTAATACATATATGTATAAATATATTACTTGAAAAAAGAAAATTTATATGTAAATATTAAGAAATATAATATTAAAGTCTCTTTTTAAAAATATTTTAGTGTAATAAATATATTTATAACTTTTATTTTTATTTAATTTTTTTTATTATTAACTTCGTGTTTTAAATATTGTTATTATCTTTTATTTGTTTTCTTTACAGCGATGTCGAAATCAACACCCAGCCACTTGTTGTTCCTGCTTGGCCTCTGTTGCACTTTAGTGCAGGCCAGTTATCCACTCAAAATACTTGGCTTATTTCCACATCCCGGCATTAGTCATTTTCACTTCTTCCATCCGATTATGCGCGGTCTAGCCGAAAAGGGACATGATGTTACGGTGATAAGTCACTTTCCGGATAAGAGTCCACCAGCGCGTTACAAGGATTTGCCGCTAACAAATCTTGAAACTTTGTCGGATAGTGTCGATTTGAAGGTATGTACACATATACATATATGTTTGTATATAAGGAAAAAATAAAGTAATTAAACTTTGTTATTAAGGAAAATTTTGTGCTTATTCAGCTCATCACTTGCTCTAAAGTTCAAGTGCACTCACACACATTTATACATATATACATATATGAGTAAATCTATTTTTTAATTTTTATATAAAATTTTGCGCTAACAAAGCAAATGAAATTTGAGTATGCAATTGCCAAGTCAGCTGCGTTTGATCGCACGCAAGCTGTTTTCTAAATTAATTATTTCCATTGTAAATTATTTTCCAACAACAATACCATTGCTAACGACAGCTTTGATTATAAAAAAATATACGAGTATACAACTTTATTGACATTGCCATGTAATGTTGATAACAGAAAATTTCTGCAAGCAAGATTTTCAATAACTGAGGAAGTTCACTGTTCTCTGCTGCCAGAGGCCTCGAGCTACTCAATCAGCCCTCAATTTGAGCGGAGCTAGGAAATAGTTTTAAATTGCATTGAGGACATAAGAATTTTTCCGGTTGAAATTTAGTCTTTTTCAGAATACTCCTGATTTTTAGTCTGGTCTGGTCGATCAAGAAATATAAGCTTTGCAAGAATTATTGCAGCTCTCCTATTGCTCTACTGGTCACAATATTCCATAGAGTTGTTGCTAATGATTTTGTGTAGTCATGCGTGTTTTTGGGTGAGAGAAAGTACCGGTGTTCCTTTTTAAACTCTCCGGAGCTACTATTTTTCTTTTTCTTTACCAACGTACACACCGCTTACGCGAATATAGCCGAATGAACAATAAAACGCCATTCGTTCCATCTTTTCGCTGCTTGGCGCTCATTGGTAAAGTCAAGGGAAGCCAAGTCATTCTCACATTTATCGTTCAAAGGAAGTGTAAGACTTCCCCTAACTCTGCTCTCACCAGTGGGTACTGCATCGATTACTTTCAAAGTGGGTGTATTCATCCATTCCAACATGACCTAGCCAGCGTCAAAGCGTTAGTCGGTAGCATTTGGAGAAAAGATAAAGAAACTTTGCTGGCGTCGTACAAAGCAATTGGCCGACCGATCGTAAAGAAGAAAAAATTAGAGAACAACGCCCTCAGGATTGTGACGGAAAACCTTCTGATGTCGCCAGAGCATCATTTGCACAGTGGTGTGTCGATGCTACGAGTTAAGGAGCAAGCGATTTCTGCTCGAATGCTACCGAAGCCGCTGGACAGGACGGCGTACAGACAGAAACCTTAAAAAACTCGCTCTCGGAGTCAAACCACCATCCGCAGCAGATGAATAGCTCGAGCTGCCTCGAGTGCCTCGCATAATACTGGCGCAACTTTGGTCACAATATTGTAGCAGGTTAAACCTTGTCTATCCAGACTCGACGCCGATATACCCAACGTACTTTCCGCTTGTAATGAGTCCCCGCACGACACTAACCACCTCTTTGCATGCCCACTAAAACCAAAATTTCTGTCAAAAACTCACAATGTCGGTTCAACAGAAAAAAAATTCAGCACTGTATAGCAGGACGGGAGGGGTGAGCGACTAAGTTTGACCTTTGTTGGCCGTGAGAGGACTAGTAGGTGGTGTGCGCCGCTCTTCTTTTCCACTATTTGGCGCATATGGCGAATATCTGGTCAATGTCCAACTTATTAGATCTATGTAAGCCCACACTGATAAGAATCAATCAGTTCGTTGACTGCGGCCTTTAGCCTTTCATACAACACGTTCGATAGGTCTTAATATGCGATATTTATGAAGCTAATCCTTTGATAATTTGCACAGACCCCCCTTTTTAGATTGTGCAATGCCCACTTGCTTTTCGTCCGATCATATTTTTTATTGCACGCACCTTTTTACTGTTTATCCGTCGTTTTGTTGTTTATCCGACCGATAATAGCTATTCGAATCTCGTAATAGTCAGGTAATGGCACGTCTTTTCCATCATCATGTTGGGCTTCACTACCCTTCACCAGACTACAGAAGTGTTTCATTCATATATCAAGTATACTCTGTACACAGATGCCTTATTAAAGTGTTTGCGTCCCAAAATGGCATATCCGGACAAAAGTCCGATCGGGCTAGTTCCGACATATGATGAAAACAGTATTATATAAAAATATAATACATCTGCGCATCAAGTATAGTGGAAACATCTCAAAAAGTCTGGGCCTCAGTACAAACAGACGGACAATGGACATAGCTAAGCTCAACTCAGCACGTCATCCCGATCATGTCGGTATAAATTTCGGGTCTGTGTCTTCTCTTTCTGGTACTGGCATACTTTGAAAAAAAGTTAGTATACCCTCTCATCTCTATGAAAGGTATAAAAACGCACTTAATGCTGATATCGCACAACCCGGTTATTAATATTTGCTGGCTATGATTAGCTTTTCTCCGGTGAAATATTCAAATTTTACTAAAGCTAAGGCATTGCCTATTTCAGTTATTGCTATATGTACTTTTCTGAGAAATTTCATGCGTATTTTATGTAAAATATTTAGCGAAATATGCTGATTAGCAGCACAACAATTCCTGCTCCCGCATTGTTATTGAATTTAGAGGCGCGGCCCTTCTGTGAATCGGCAGGCAATTGGATGCTTATATTAAATAATAATTACTGCATATTCCGAAACTTCAATTTTTCGCATTAATCCATTATTTATTTACTTTCATTGCAGTTCTTCGAAAACCGACGATTCTACAATCATTTTGTGGAATTCTTTTTACTCTACGAATGGGGCAGGAGCGCCTGCAATACCACCTTACGTTCCGATGCTTTAGCACAGGTGTTGCGTCAGCGTCAACGTTTCGATGTGGTCATTATGGAACAATTCACCAGCGATTGTATGGCAGCGGTGGCACATCAACTGAAAGCGCCTTTCATAGGGTTGAGTAGGTGAGTTGAAGTTGTCTCTTTTTCTTTCTTTCGCAAAATAACAAATAACGATATTTTATTACATTTATTTATTTGTTTAGTTGTGCGCTGATGCCTTGGCATTACGGACGCATGGGTATGCCCATGATACCATCACATATGCCGGCACTCTTTATGGGTCAGGCCGAATCGATGACTTTCAGCGCACGTCTCGCAAATTGGTTCACTTTTCACGCGATGCGCCTGCTTTATGAGTAAGTGACTTAGTGATTCTCTATAACAGTACTAAGAAGTTTGTTAACATTCATCTTCCACTTCTTTTGCAGTTTTTACACCACGCCCAGTACCGATGCCTTGGTACAATACAAATTCGGTCATGATATACCTTCGGTTGGTGAATTGGCCAAGGAGACTTCATTAATGTTTGTGAATCAGCATTTCTCATTGACTGGCGTTAAACCACTGCCACCATCTGTCATCGAACTGGGCGGCGTACATATACAAAAAGCCAAACCCTTGGATCCAGAGCTTCAAAAGTTTATCGATAATGCCGACCATGGTGTGGTCTTAATTAGTTGGGGTTCTATGGTGCGTGCCAACACCTTGCCACCAGCCAAACGTGACGCTATATTGCGCGCTATAAAGCGACTCAAGCAACGTGTGATTTGGAAGTGGGAGAATGGCACACTGGAACACAAACCGGATAATTTATACGTGAGCAAATGGCTGCCGCAGCGTGATATACTCTGTCATCCCAATGTGAAGGTATTCATGGCGCATGGCGGTTTAATGGGCACCTCGGAGGCGGCCTACTGTGGTGTGCCTATGGTGGCTACGCCTTTTTATGGCGATCAATTTGTGAATTCAGCCGCGGTCAAATATCGTCGCATGGGTGTTGTGCTGCACTATGAGGATATCACGGAGAATTCAGTGTTGCGCTCAATTAGAGAGGTCTTGAAGAAGGAGTGAGTTGTAAAGAGAATTGCTTTAAAGAAGAAATACTAATATTTTTTATATATTTTTCGTTACAGATACATGGACAATGCCAAAGCGGTCTCATTCTCTTACAGACATCGGCCACAAAGCGCACTCGAAACCGCCATCTGGTGGGTGGAGTATGTCGCAAAGACAGAAGGCGCACCACTAACTAAAGGCCATGCGGTCTCCTTATCAGGTTTCGTCTACTACTCACTAGATATTTATCTCTTTCTCGCTTTTGTCGCCGTCATTTCGGTGCTGAGTTGGAGATTCGTTTGGAACAGAATTTGTGCGCGTCGCCCTAAGGCACCAGTTAAGCAAAAGACTAACTAAAAAGAAAGTGATATTGTGATATACATATATTACCGAAGTAGTATGATTCATTACGAAGAGGAAACAAAAAAAAAATAAGTTAGTCTGTAATAAATTTAACGCATTAAAAGTAGTAGCGAAATATTTTATACAAACTACGTAGGAGCGATTTTATGTGCGCGGAATGAATGGACTATGGGGCGGTTAATCAGGCTCATTAGGAAAGGTGAGATATGGACAAGCAAGGCAAATCAGCTCCGTAATGAGTGTGACTTGCGGCGACTCTTACCCGCGGAAAACCGTGATGCGCCAGTGGCGATACTCGACTAAAGAAGAAAAATTCGTAGAAATGCTTGTACTATATGATACAACCGATTTTAAAATCCTGCACGATCATCTTGGCTTGAGTAAGATCGGCACAAGATGGATACCGAGAACGCTCACGCCTTCGAAAATACAACAATGTGTAGATTCGGAAGGAATATTATTTATCGATTATAACGATAAAGGCATTAAAGTTAGAGGGACTTATAGAAGTCGTAAAAGAGAAAAGGCGGGAAAAAATACGAAAAGTGTACCGCTTTTGCATGGCACCCGACCACAGAAATGCGTTGCTTTGGCTGTCCCTGACTTAGATATTTTGAATCACCAGACAGACAGACAGACCAACAATAAAAAAGTAGGTGAAGGGTAAAAAATGTGTCACTGATGATGAAGTCAAGAAGGCAGTTTCAGTATAATTTGAATTTGAAGAGACAAATTTTTTGCTTGAGGGTATAAATAAATTAATTGAAAGAACGATCTGAAAAGTGTATCCGTCTTGAAGGTGGATATACTGAAAAAAATATTTAGTATTTATTATTATATTTATAAAAACCCCTCCCCATTCCGCAAACGTAAAACCACTCCCTCGTATGTGGAGTATATTACAATTTATTAATTAAATAAAAAAATTTAGTAATTTAAATAGTATAATAGACAGTGTAAATAGAAATTCAGCAAAACTCACTGCTCAACTTTTTAATGAAGCTTTAAACATTAAGTAAAAAATAATGAAATTTGCTCAATTTAACTAAATAAAAAATAGTTAAATAAATAGACAATTTTATGTACAATAAATCTTTTACTATTTTTTTTAAAGAAATTTATGCTTAAATATTTTATGATGAACTCTTTACTTGCTCACCCGAAGTATGCACGGCTCCTGAGGTTTAGCCATAAAGACCGTTACAAGTCAAAGAAATATCCATACCTGCAATGAAAAATTGAAACTATTAAAAAGTGTTGGAGAGATTTGACAGATTTCAATTCTAAAATCTACCTCTGGTAATTTCATACACTCCAGATCAATGAAATAGACTCAGCGTTTTGTTTTCATTTGTAGAGGATTATCCATTTCGTGGTTTCAAAAGTACAATACTGTTTTTGGGCATCTGTCAGATTTAACTGTCAAACCAAACATGTTTTTGTTTTAATTAAAAGTCAGACATTTATGAAAATGAAAATCACTAAAGAACCGCACAACGCGCTGGAATTACTAAAATCTATTGCAAAACTGGCCACTGAGATCGCGCGATTAGACAACGTTGGGCTACGCGGAGAAACCGACCGATTTGTGGCAAAAAAAAAAAATGGTCTAAAACTACCTTAATCGGAATGGATAACCCAGTATTATAAAACCCAAAATAATAATGAAATATAAAAAAACGAAATTTTTCCATTATTCGAAAATCGGTTCTTAGTAAAAATTTTATTTTATATTTATTTTGAGGTACTCTACTTTTTTTTTAAGGAAAACACAGAAAAATCTAGTTTAATGGAGTAGGTTTATAATCATTCCAAATAACTTTCTTTGGCATTTATTGTATTTGATCTCTCTTTCAAATGTTGGCCGCGATTGCGTCTCAGATGGTTCATCCGTTGAGTTTAATTTTCGATGACTCGTTCGAGCATTTCCACTGGTAACTGACGAATGAAACGTGTAAAGTCCAAGACCTGAAACGAAGCAGAATTGTCAGCTTAGATTTTAGACCTTACAACGCTGTGGTATCACACAATTTTGGTGGCCAATCGACTGACCGGCCCAAAATGTAAAATTATCTGCTCACCGAAGTCAATAAATTCAATGATTGATGCGATGTGCGCGATAAGGATAACCATTAACGGTTTCATTCTCTCCGGAATCATTATTGAAGAAATATGGACCAATGATTCCACCGGCCCACTAACTACACCAAACCGTTGTTTTTTCCGGACAAAATTTCAGCACTTTAATCTCTTCAGGTTGCTGTTCGTCTTAAATGAGACACTTTTGCTTGTTACATACCCATTGAGTCACTGCTGAACAAAATTTAGCTCGAAAACGTCATATCCTCTTTGAACTTTTCAAGAGCGCATAGAGCGAAGCGATGTCGCTTGGGAAGGCCGAGCAGCTTCAGTTTTTGCGCAAGCTGTATTTCGTGAGGTTTCAATTTCCGATCTCGCCCTAAAATGCGCCAGGTCGTTCTATACTCAGGGCGAACGTCGCCGAATCGACCCTCCAATAGAGAATACTAGTTCTCTAGATGAGTGATGGTGTTGCGAATAGTACTCTCAGCATACCGATTATGTTGACCATAAGTTACGCGATGCGCGCCAAACACATTTCTTACAGAACGTGCATTTTCGTAATAAAGTTGAACGATTAGTGAACGTCGTTTATGCGTAAGCATTTTCATGATGAAATGCCAAACAATACTGGGCAAAACAAACATGACAATTTGACATGACTGACGCGTAACCTATCAAAAAAAAAGGCTTTTGAAAAAAGTATTTCTACTTGGATCACCTGCCATTATGTCTGAAGGTTTTTCTTATATTTTTTTGGCAGCGGCTCTAAGCAGTTTGATGTAAGCTTTAGTACCTTAAAATTATCGTTCACTTTCATAAACCTTTCTCAAGAGCCATCCCCATACATTTTCAGTAATATTGGGGTAGGAAGAGTAAGGTGGCCACTCTATTAAAGGTACATTTTGGTCGGCGATCCACTTTTTTTTATTACCGTATTCTTCCGATACAGCCCCATATCACTTTTGCTCTCTCCTAAACTCAAATTAATTGGTATGTGGGCATGCTCGGACAAAGTGGAAGGAAGAAAGTGGTCAAATAATGTTCTAACGATCTCAAGTTTAGACTTGGAACATTCAGAAAAAGAATAAAAACCTGTATCTGTATGTATCTCTCCACAGATGCTCCCAGCACCTTTTCACTTTCGTAGAAGTTAGATAAAATTAGTGAATTTGAATTCTCTGATAATCTGACTCGCCTATTACCGTGAGATCAAGGCTGTAGGAAAGACTAAACTGATTGCAGCTTATCAGCGTGGCTTTGGGCCTGTTGGATATATAAATGCTTTCATATATCCAAAAATCATCGAGGATCTAAAGACTTCCATTACTTTGCCACATTCAAATAAAACTGTCGGACAAAAATATGGCTTACGATGTGCTCTGAGAGGGAAACTCGCAATCTGTGCTAATTATGACTGCACGCAGACTACGTGACTTTTTTCGTTGGAATTACTGCATAAGCAAGAAATTATTATCAGCAAAGCTTGGCAACAAGTGCTACTCTTCTAGTGCACAACCTTTTCTGCTTTAAAAGCCATGGTTGAGTTATGGAGGCGCTCAATTTAAGACTCTTTCTAATGACTTCAGCCGCTCTTGTATTGCATCAGCCAATTTTTGCTGTCATTTTTTTTTTCGGTCGTAAAATTGCCTGATATTTGCTCAAATCACCTCTCCTCATCAGCATGCAGCATTATCAAGGTCTGCGTTGATCCAATATTTGGCTCTCCAAGCATTTATCAGTTAAGAAGGCCATCCTCTGTTTTTGATTAAAAAAAAAAAGTCATTTTTTTCGCAAAAAATGAAAGGCATATACTTGTAGAGTATGTGTTTAAGGGGATTTTGCAATACGATGAATATTTTTCAAATGGCCGCTTCTCGAGCACACCTATCTCACGCACGCTGCGAGACTTTCAAAAATCTTTCAATGAGTTTTTCTCGAAATCATGTTTTTCGATCAAACTTCAAGCCCCGGGCTTGATCTATCTGTCCGATTTCCTTTAACTACAACCTGTTTCAAAGTATATAGTTTTTTGTACGTCTTGAACCTAGGATTAGCATTAATAAGGTATTTATATTTTTTTAACGTAAATGTATCGAAAAGAAGTAGCAAAAATTTAACTTTATAATTGCAATGAGCGTTATGCAATAAATCTATGGTTGAAATTTTTTCAATTGAGGTTCAGAATGTAGAAAATTTCCTGATGTCTAAGTAATGACAACGATTTTTGACTTCAGTCTACTACAAGAGGCTGTAAGCTTGAGGTTGTTGGGCCACGTTTTGAAGTTTGTTTGAATTTCGACTATTTTTTGGCGTTTTAAAATCGCAAATAATAAACAAATTTAATAGTGAAAACCGGAAGTTCGTACGCCTTCTCATTCTCCCACCAAAAAAAAAAAAAAACACAAACTTTGCCTGATTTTTGCCCAATATCAGGGGATGGTCTCCTTAAGTGTTATACCCAGACACAGTTACACTCACGTCGCTATACTCAATTCCTAATAGTCCGTACGTTGAGAAAGGCGAATAACGCATCAGATGGAACGATAAGCTGTACGAGATGAGCGACGCCAAACTTCTTGTCCTTGACCGATTAGTTAAATCAATTCTAGCACAAAATCTAAAAATTTTGGCCAATAAATTAAACCCTGAACACATGAAAAAACACAAGGAAAATTTTAGACTTCCTCAAGGTCAATAAAGATTTATGTTTTCTTTTTTGTTATTAATCCGAGCAACTATAGTTCTTGTGAATTTCTAACAAAAAAAAATGAGAACCGAAAAATGGAAATGCTTAATCAACTTCCTGATTGTATATAGTTTTTTTATTTTTTTTAGCATTTATAATCAATATTTGACAATACCAGCATTTTCAGGTTTGGAAAGCTGCATTTTGTCATATGACAATTTCAAGTTCAGCTGGACAAAAAATTTAATCAGTCGACGAAGAACGAGCCACTAAATTGGTGGTGTGAATTTAAATTAAAAAAATTAAATATATTTTTCAAATTAACGAATAACTCAGAGTTGTGTTGTGAAACCTAAATGAAAGATTTTGTCCCAGAAAAATATAAGTTCGAGCAAATGCTTAAATAAAATTAACTGATTACGTGAAATATTATTTAAAAATATTTAGTTGGAAAAGTTTCTAATTTTAATTCAAAAAGAAAAAAACCAAAAAAAAACAACGGAAAGTGTTTTTTGAAATTCATTGTAAAGTCTAGTAGATTTAAACATCGTGGCATCGGACAAAATAATTCGCACCTAGACGAAAGTGGGTAGGATATTTCTAAATACTATTCGGTTCGTTTTTTTCGGGCTGAAAAGTATATTTTTATTGAAAAAAGACTAAATCACTCAAAGTATTAGCCCACCTTTCTTATTATTTTCGATGATACGTGCATATATAAATAATATAATTGGGGTTTCGTAACCTCTCAAGCGATTTTCGGCCGACAATATTCTCCAATTTGTGGTTTTGCGGCTTGATTTTTTACCAAACAAATGGAGGGACCTGTAGTTTATACTAAGTCGCCTCCAAACGGCTGATGATTTTTCATGAGGAGTATTAATTTTCATCTCAGAAAAACACTCAGAGTGGTTGACAATCTCTGCCGAGGGACGATCGTACTAAAAATTTAGCATGATTTTTAATTTAAATTCGTTTTCCATAATTTTTTGGATGTTAGTACAACACGAGAATTGAAACACCAAATAATGAATGGTTTCTCTCCTCGATGTAATCATTCAGACATGTTCTTACTTTGTCAAAAAAAAAAACCGAAGCGGTGACCATCCAATCCTTTTGCCGTCGTCGAAAAGCCAGGTCTGTAGAATGCAGCGGGTGGAGTAAGACCATTCGATCGTTGTCATATTAAAAAATAACCTTGTCATGCCTTTCGGTCGTTTTTGGCCTGAAAAGTCTCGCCTGGTTTTAGCAGTTCATAGTACAGCATTCTCGTCTGGCCCCACCATATGCAGACTATTATCTTTGACTCGTTGAAATTTTTCTTGGGCTGCGATTTAGGCGATGATGGAACGGGTTCACCAGGCTTGGCACATCTTTTATCTGTAATCTCTATTCCCGCCTTTGATATTGTATATTTCAACATCTCTCGCCTTCAACTCGACCGTCATCCAATTTTCTTACTTTAGAATGAATCAAAATTGCTTTAACCGAAGGGAAATTGTTTGCTAATTGACTTCAAAGGAACCTGTACTGTTTGCATTTGGCGCGGATCTTGATCCATTAAAGCCTACAATTCCTCAACTTAAAATTTTTTGGGTTGGCTAGGACACTCTTCGTCTTTGACGATATAATCAACACTTTTGAAAGGTCAAAACCACTCCAACTAAAATAGTAAATCGAAACTTTTCGCAAATGTTGTTTATCTGACATGAATCCAGAAAAGGATTGAAGATCGGCCACAACTTACAGTCCTGTAGCCATCTCCTGAGAACGGACTGAATCATTATATACTTTCAACAACATTTTAAAAGTTTCTTAGAACTTAGAACTTTGCACTACAACCAAGAGTCCTTCAAAAGATTTGGTAAAAACTTTTGCAAACATTTGAAATATTTAATTTATTTTTAATACTATTTTTATTTATTTTATTTTTTTTTTTTTGATATAGCCATGTCGAAGCTGGACATTAAACAGATTTTATTAATTTTTGGCCTATTCTGCACACTGTCACAAGCGAATAGACCGTTAAACATTCTTGGCCTGTTTCCCTTGAATGGTTTTAGCCATTTTCAATTCTTTCATCCGGTTATGCGTGGCCTGGCTGCGAAGGGTCACAATGTTACGGTTATTAGCTATTTCCCAGATAAAAATCCTCCTCCGAGTTATAGAGATTTGCCGCTAAGAGAAGGTGAAATCTTAATGAATAGTGTGGACTTGAAGGTAAGTGCAGTGCTTGAAAGATTTCTTTTTTCCACTTATACATATTTATTGGTTGGAATTTATTTATATTTTGCGACTTCACTTGTTCTCGTAGTTTTTCTATTGGTGTACACTTCACAGCGCAAGTCGGTTAAGAAAATTAGGAGCCTCTCGCGCAGCGTTGGGTTGCAACTTCCCAAGTATGATATTAGTCCAATGAAGAAGAGACAAAAATGTCGAGATCTTCTCTTTTATGCCGACCACGACAAATTCACTAAGAACTCCTATTTGCCGCTGCCCAGCAGGTTATAGTTCTAGAAAATATAAATATTAACATAACCGCAGTTCAGCAGATGCGATATACGGACAGGGAAGCAAAAGGATAGATCTTTGCAGCAATCATTACAGCGGCTATGTAAAGCAGTGAAACTTCAGTGTTATACTTGTGGTGTGAGAGAGAGAAGCTTCGTCGTCATGTATGATCATTCACTCTAGTGCAGAAATGTCTCGCACAATCTGAATCAAAGCCCGGGGTTTTAAACACTTACCTTGGTATAAGCCTCTCCAATATCGCTTAACAAACATATTGTATTGTATTGTATACAGTATGACTTTCACCCCGAAAATCTACAAATGACCAAGTGACCGTGACCGTACGTCAAATCTTGAAAAGAACCTCTGAAAAAAGAATAGACACACATCACCTCTTCATCAATTTTAAACCTAACTGGCGTTAAGCAACACTAAAAGCTCCGTCAGGATCGGAAAGGTCCTCTACGAGCCGTTCGATACCAAACGAGGTTTTGGACCGGGTGATTTCTTATCGTGCAACTTTTTCAACTTATTGCTGGAGAAAATAATACGAACTGCAGAGCTGAATAGAGAAGGTACAATCTTCTACAAGAGTATACAACTGCTGGCCTACGCCGAAGATTTTGATATTATTGGCCTCAAAACCGCGCCATGAGTTCTGCTTGCTCTAGACTGACAAGTCGAAACATCTACTGTCATCAAACAAACAGTCGCTGGATTCACAACTCGGCTGCCTTGCCACTATTGAAAGCCATAACTTTGACGTCGTGGATAATTTCGACTATTTTAAAACTTGCATTAACCCAAACAGCAACATAGCCTTTAAATCCAACGCAAAATCACCAGTGCTATTTTGGACTGAGTGCGCAATTGAAAGCTAAACTCTTTTTTCGACGAACGAAGACCCAACTCTACAAGTTGCTCATTTCTCCGTTACTCTGCACGGTGACGAAGCATGGACGATGATAACATCTGATGAGTCGGCGTTAGGAGTGTTCGAGAGAAAAGTTTTTCGTAAGATTTATGATCTCCTGCACTTCAGCCCATGGAACGATGAGCGTCTACCTCAGTACAGAAGAAGAATTTATTTTATTTTTTCGCCAAACCTTTGGATTTACCTTGATATAAACCTTGTTTTACTTCTACTCAACAACTGATAAGAAGACAGTATATAACGATGCTTAGAGCCTAAGATAAAAGGAAATACGAAATATTTAGAAAAAATATAAATTAAAAACAATTTGCAGACTTTAATAGCAGCATTAACTTTGTATTAACTAAATATATTAATTTATATTTGCTTATTTTACAGACTTTCGGTAGTAAAAAGTTTTACGAACCCTTTAGAGAATTCTTTTTAATTAATGAATGGGGTAAAAGAGTCTGCAATCGAACATTACATTCCGATGCGTTGATCCAGGTGCTTGAAGAGCAGCAAGATTTCGATGTGATCCTAATGGAGCAATATAACACCGATTGTTTGACAGCGGTGGCACATCGGTTGAAAGCACCCTTCATAGCGATGAGTAGGTGAGTACGCTTTTTTCTACTGAGATAATTTCAATGAATATTGTGAGGGGAAAACTTCTCACAGAGACTATTTATACATTTTCTTTCTTTAATTATAGTCTTTTGTAAACAATTTCAGTTGTTCTATGCTGCCGTGGCATTTTGAGCGCATGGACATGCCCAGCATGACATCCTCTATACCAACCCACTTCCTGGGAGAATCAGAATCGATGAACTTCCGTGGTCGCCTGGCCAATTGGTTTGTCTTTCATGGCATGCGTTTACTTTATGAGTGAGTAGCTATAAAATGGCGGGATAACAGAAACTGTAAAAATCACTAAACAGCCGCTAATTATGTAGTATATACACCACCCCCGCCACAGATGCTCTAGTGCGGCACAAACTTGGACATGATCTACCCTCCGTTGGGGAATTGTCGAAAAGAACTGCAGTATACTTTGTGAATCAGCATTTCTCATTGAGTGGTGCGAAACCTTTACCGCCAACTGTCGTCGAATTGGGTGGCATACATATACAAAAGTCTAAGCCGATCGATTCCAACTTGAAGGAGTTTCTCGATAATGCCGAGCATGGTGTGGTCTTCATTAGTTGGGGTTCCATGATACGCGCAGAAACTTTACCACTAGCCAAACGGGAGGCTCTACTACGCGCTATAAACCGACTCAAACAACGTGTGATTTGGAAGTGGGAGAATGGCACATTGGAGCACAAATCGGATAATCTATACGTCAGCAAATGGCTGCCGCAGCGCGAAATACTCTGCCATCCCAATGTGAAGGTGTTCATGTCGCATGCCGGTTTGATGGGCAGTTCAGAGGCAGCCTATTGTGGTGTGCCCGTTATTGCCACGCCAATGTACAGTGACCAATTCCTAAATGCGGCCGCAATGAAGTATCGTGGCATGGGCATTCTTTTGAAATATGAGGATATCACAGAGAATTCAGTATTACGCTCAGTGAGAGAGGTCTTGAAGAAGGAGTAAGTGGTAAAGAGAGTTGCTTTAAAGAAGAAATACGAATGCTTTTTATATTTTCCTGCTACAGATACATGGACAATGCCAAAGCGGTCTCATTCTCCTACAGACATCGGCCACAAAGCGCACTCGAAACCGCCATCTGGTGGGTGGAGTATGTCGCAAAGACAGAGGGCGCACCACTCACTAAAGCCAATGGGGTCTACCCGTTTTATTACTTATCGCGTTTCGTCTACTACACACTGGACATTTATTTTTCTTTGGCTTTTGTCGCCGTCATTTCGGTGCTGAGTTGGAGGTTTTTGATAAAAGGAAGTAACTCAAAGTCTGAAAAACTAAAAGATTCTTAATAGAAATGGAAGGGAGGTTTGGTTGTTCACTTATTAGATACTTAATTGATATTTTTGTAGAAAATTACTTTATTTATAATTATATCATACGTGTTTGGTTTTTTATACCGTAATTTTTGCTTTTGGTCCATCCTTTGGAAACAGGCGAGTAACAAGAGTGATGTTTTGCTCCAAGAGGCAAATCGAATCGAGACTGTCCGCAAAGACTTTAGATTTTGCATATCCCCATAGGAAAAAGTCTAAAGGTAGCCAATCGACCTGTCCGAAACATGAAATTATCGGCTCACCGCAAAGTTCTGTCAAAAAACCTATTGTTTTATGTAAAAGAGAAATAGACGAGAGATGGCACCTAAGACCGAGGACTTGTCGATGAATCTACATATCAGTAGTTCCACCACGGATCGATTATCTGGTGCCAGCTATAGGTAAAGCTTCACTAAAGGACACGCCTAGTGTAGCACTAAATGTAATACTAGATATCTTGCCACTGGATTAGGTGGTATATCAGCCGGCAGCAATAACCACTCGTCTCTTAAGATATTTAGCTGTTGGGTTACTTGGAAATATTGCATATATACGAGATCCTACCAAGCAGTACATATCAATGCGGTCCAATTACATTCACTGGTAATTGCTTAGAAACACGAATACCCATTACGGAAGAATGAAAAGGTAATTATAAAATTCCAGATGGGAGACGGAAAATATATACGAATGGATTAAAGTGTGAGGGGAAAGTCGGCGCAGGTGTCTTCTCAAGGAATTCTCTATGGAAGTTTCTTTCAGACTATCAGATTTGTAGGTGGATGTCTACTAATAGATATGGAGACAGCAAAGCAAATCGAAGGCAGGTTTAAAGATAAGGATATCTCTATTTTCAGCGACAGTCACGCAGCAATAACAGAACCAGGGGCACTTACACTACATCCCAAAACTGTGTTGCACTGTCGCCAAACAGTCTTTTTTGTCTCTCTTGAGGCAAGAAAGTCTAAAATAATCGCACAGGACAGCTTAGTCTAATAGCACGACATGTGGATAGAGTAGTGGCTTCGTATAAAAGATGCCACAGAAGGTGCAAGGATGATGTGGGGGAGAAAACGATCTGCCATCTCTTATGCACCCAAAGTCATAGGTTGTATTTATTTTATTCGAAAGAAAAATAGGAACTATATAAATAAATACAGTCATCTCGAAAAGTTACCGACCGATTGACTTGAAATTGTCGGGTTGGTTATTTTGTTTCTGGGAAGGGCTTTTGGGAGGTGGATCTGAGACCGGACCGCTCAGTAAAAAGTTACATGAGGGTTTGTTTTAACAATAGGTGTTGTTTTGATTCCACAAACGTCATTACACGTATTTTGTATAAGGACTTAGGACTAAGGTTTATAAAATTCAGTTAACAACAAGGCCGGCCTATCATCAAAAACGCCGTGTTTCTGCTGATTGGGTCATTGAAATGCATGAAAATTATCGGAAATTTCTTTGGAAAATCATCTTGATCGATAGATGACCATTTCCACCTCGATGGCTTAGTCAATAAGCCAAAATTTCACATCTGGGTCTCGAAAACCTAAAGATTATTTGTTGAAAATAATTTGTATCCTTAACATGTGACTACTTAGTGCAGTTTATGGTACTTTGGGGTCATTGGACTATACTTTTTCGAAATTAAATGGATTGCACTATCGAGAGATGATTAATGATTATTGGAGGCCGGAAATGGATGGAACTGATCTGGGCAACTTTCAACAAGACGGCACTACGTGTCACACAAGCAACAATACTATCGATCTTTTAAGAGAAAAGTTTCTCTCGAAGAGATGATCGCAATTGTCCACACGGGATCTTTGATCATTTAACGTCTTGTGACTCCTTCCTTTGGGAATCGTTTCAAGACCTCAAATATGGAATTCGTGGAGCTATTGAGGGCATACAGCAGCCACTTTGCGATTTGGTGATGGAAACTTTCATATAAAGGATACGGTCCTGAAGCGAGGCATATATCTTACCAATCTTAATGGTATATTTTTATCTTTGCGTAGAGATAAACATTCGATCAGTTATTAAAAGAAATTCATTTTTTTTAATATTGAAATAACAACTCTTATTGGAAAACCCTGTAAATTCATATACGTACCAAGATATATGCGACTAATTGAGAACTTTTTTTTTTTAGCTGGTTTAGAATAGAATTAAATATTTATAATAAAATAATATAAATAAAGTATATGAAAGAAAATTGCTTAAAATAAAAATTAATTAAAATAGAAAAGAAGATAATAAAATTAAAACAATGCTAAGTGCCAACAGATATTAATAAAATATAAATAAGTAATCTAAGAAAAAAAGCAAACACTGAACAACAGTAAAAACACAGTAGCACCGAATTCCAACAAAAAATATGCGGTAAATCGTGTTGGAACCGTGCCAAGGTACGACAAATTATGTAGCAAATTATTCATGTAAAGGATGTAAAATTCGGTATGTACTAAGTACAAATATACATACATACATGCATACGAGTAGATATGTGCTTTTTTGCTTATTTATGTTAATTGGCTGACTTTGACAGGTGGCTAATTTGGCTTGATTTCCCTTTTTTTTGTTATTGCTTATCGCTTCTTTTGAGAAATATTGACTGATGTACTCGTATACAGTCGTTTTGTTAGCGGAAGAGTAAGATTTTTCTTATGTAATAATATGTAAAGGGTGTCATGTTAGACATGTGGCTCTCAATAAGGCAACACTTTTTTGATGGCTCTTACTCAATTTAGCCTGTCAATTCATAATGATCAGATGTACTCTGGAACAACGTTTGTAAATCGTGCAAATTTATTACAGGGGTTTCGAAAAAGAGATGTTTTTTTTTGATATTCAATGAAAAATTACATTTTTCGAGATAAATGAGCAGATGTTTATTTCAATGTAAAGAAGATATGAGGTCTTGAATCGACGTTGACTCTTTGAGGCAGATCTTATCTTTCACGTGAGCCCAAAAGAAGAAGTTACAAGGTTTTAAATCACAAGATCTCGAGGGATAGCACGATTCGGAAACTTTTCACTTAAAAGATCGATTGTTTAGTCGATCGTAGCGCCATCTTGTTGAAAGTAAACGTTGTTCTTATCAACCCGATCGAATTCCCGCAATAAAAAATCATTGATTGCGAAATCCATTCACCGTAACTGTTGCTCTAGTCTCATTTTCGAAAAAAAAAGGTCCAAGGAGTTACACGTTAAGAATGGAGATAACAATAAATCTGGGGTTTTCTGAGCTCCAGGTGCAACAGTTTTGCGTATTAATGTAACCATCGAGGTGAAAATGGGTATTGTCAGTCAAAATAATATTTCAATGAAATTCCGGATCATTTTCACGCATTTCAAGGAGCCAATCGGCAAAGACAGGACGTTGAGGACAAACCTGGAATTTTTTTAATACTTTGTGCTACAGACGCAATATTCTCAGTTGTTCTTGAACTAAGTGCAGGTGTTTTATTCTTTACATCTCGCAACAGCTCCATTTTTTCCACCAATTCCTGTATTGCGGTCCAACAAGTGGCTTCACGACTGATCCTATTGACGAAAATGTTGGTCAAATAATGGAAATCGTCGAGACTGGCCATCATACGAGCACTGTTCCGATTAAAAAAGCTTGTATGTCCAACTCGATATATGGCTGCCACACGAGTTAACGAGAAGAATCTTATGGATCGAATTTCTATCAGCGAAACGCTGCTGAATTGTAAGAAAATCGACCAATTTCAGAAGCGGATGATGACTGGTTCCGAAAAAGTGGAACACTTACACCAACGTAAAATGAAAATTGTCGTGGCCGAAAGGCAGGCACAAACGGTCTTCACTCCAAGATCGACGGCCAGGAAGGCTTTGTTGTGTGGGATCTGTATTGTAGGCAAATTTGACCGTCTGAATGCAGTAGTCGCCCGGCTTTGGTCAACCGTAGGGGAATTGTGTTACATTTAGGACAATATTTGACCACACATACCGATAGTTACTCGCCAAAAGCTCCGAGAACTTGGTTAGGAGGTCCGGACCTCGCACCAAGTGATTACCGTCTATTCCTCTCTATGGCAAATGATTTGGCTAGTGAAGAATCGGCTTCATAGAAGTCTAAGAAAATGGATTGTCCCAATTTTAGGCTAATAAAGACAGGGGTTTCGATAAGAGAAATGCCAGAAGCCAATTCGACGTATTCGATGAAGCTAAAGCTGTTATGGCCCATTACAAGTCTTAGAAAACGGTGCCGTGATTGCAAAAATAAAAATCAGTATGAAATTATCCTTATTTGAAGTAAAAAATTTGGTTGAAAATATTTTTTAACTTGAAATGAATTTTTTGTTAAAAAAGTTTTTTTTTTCAAACGTCGAATAAATTTGGAATTTTCCAATTTGGTATTTTTTAGTTCTTATAGAAGAGGCACTCATAAAAATTAAAAAAAAAAAAATTTGGTTCGACTTTTTCAAATGCATCACCCGACCTTCATCACCGGCACCATTTAACGACTACACTCTGCAGCCGCTTCAGAAAACTCATCACAACATTGGAGAATTCCAATATTTTTCGATACTAGCAAAATGTTTTTTTGAATATTAAATATATTGTAGTATATTATTTGTCTGAAAATTACGTTTCCCGCAATATTTTCCCTCCCTTTCAAAGGAAAATATTTCAAAGAGGAGACTATTGCCTTAAAGAAAAATTTAAAAATTATTTATTTTATACCAATAATGTTAGCAAAATAGAGTGCATAAAAATAAATAAAAATAATAAAAATAAAAATTACAAAAATATTAGCATATTGTATTATTATGTATAACTTTGTGTGAAACTAAAACCGACAATTAAATTACTGAATTACAACAAAGGCTTAGTAGGTTCAACAACCAACGGTGGAGGAAGAAGAAGAATTGAATGCAATTAATCCAATGGCAATTAAAGTTAATTAAATTTAAACTTGAACTGCAGGGAAACAAACTAAAAAAAAAACAAACAAAA